AGTGCCGATCTTAACCGTCATTTCCGGCATATCAGGGTTTAAGGGGACTGTTTCAACTGGCTCCACTGGCTCTGCCTTCTGCTTGACACCCTTAGGTCGGTGCTCAATGTCTGATATACTCATTGTCTGCTGCTCGGGCTGGGTTGATCTGCGATTTTCGTAGCCTGAAGCGGCAGCAGCGAGCTCAACCTTCTTGAAAGTATCTTGATAGCAGGCTCTGGTCATCTTTTGATTTCCTTTAAGCACTCCTACCCCCTGAGGAGTTGAGAATTTCATGCAGAGATGGGGTTGCGAGATGACAGCCTTCAGCTCGCACAGGGTGGCTCTTCCTAATATAGCATTGAAAGCTGATTCCATTTTAACAACCAGGAAGGTGACGGAAGCCATCCTGAAGCGTGGTTCTGAGCCCACATATATAGGAAGAGTGATAACTCCCTCGACCGAGACGGGCTGGTTATCAAACCCGTATATCGGCCGTTTATGCTTCTACAACGAGCCCGGATTTAGCTGCATCTTCTGGAAGCAACTCCAGTACAGGATATCTGGTGAACTGCCAGTGTCAATAAACACCTTACTGACATTATGATTGCCTATGTGAACTGTTGCCACAAAGATCGGCATGGAGCATCATAATGTCAGGCTCTCCTTCTGCTCGCTTGTAATCTGCCGAGCTGAATGTGATGGGCGTATTCTCCCATTCTGCTTCCTCAAACGGCCGTTTCAAGGGTCTGTGTTTGTTGACAGTCATCACCTGCCTGGCGTATGCCTTGCGGGCTCAGGCACTTTGGCCCCCAGAGTGAACACCACCTGATATCATGTTTATTGTACCCGAGGGCGGGGGTATCCCAGCGTAACCTACCCCTTTCTTATCTTTTTGGTTTTGGGCAGCAGCTCTCTGCCCCTGTCCTCTCTTGTTGAACGGACGTCCCCTGTATGCCTTCCCCTGGTCAGAAGGATACTAGCTATCTTGATATACATTCTGTGCCTCGCCGAGCTGGTATCTCTGCCCTTGAAGTCGGTCGTAACCCTGTACAAAATGAGTTTGAGTGGGTTGCTGGGCGTGGGGCTTCTGAACATATCCTTCTAGCTTTCCATTGCGAGCCAGGAACTCCAGCTCATCCTTCAAGTGTTGGCAATCTTCTATGTTGTGGCCATACACACGATGGTAGTCACAATGTTTGCTCTTATCTGCTCTTGGGGAATCATGCAATGGAGGCGGGGGTCTCCTAACCCAGTGCTGGATTTGCGCAAGGATTTGAGACCTTGGCAGGGTTAAAGAAATGTAGGTGGCATATTTTGGGAAGTCAGCGGGCTTCCCCCACGGCTCGCTGACCTTTTGCTTTTTCTTTTCTCTCCTCGGTGGCTGTTCCTGGCTTTTGCTTTGCTTATCGTCAGCTCGTCGCTTGGACGACTGGAAGTCTTCTGATAATATGAAGCTAGCCGACCTGTCATTCACTTCGTTCCAAGTCCTGGGTGGGTTCTCTAGCAGGTTGTCTAGGAACCGACCATGCTTCAAGCCATGTAGCAATGCAGATAGACAGATGGTGTCTGGGACGTTGTCAATGTCCAGAGTGGCTTTGTTGAATCGCTGCATGTAGTCCCTCAGAGATTCCTCTTCCCTTTGATTAACTTGCATCAGCTTGGTTGCTGTGCATTTGATCTCTCTCTGGCTCGCGAATTTGTTGGAGAATAGCTTGGTGAGCTGGGAGTATGAGTCTATAGAATGTCTGGGGAGCTTGTGATACCATCTCCTGGCTGTTGATTTCAGTGTCGCTGGGAACACTTTGCACATCATGGCATCATTTGCATTTTGAATTCTCATGATGGCTTGATAAGTGTGCAGATGTTCATCGGGGTCGTCGAGCCATCATATGTCTCCAGGTGGGGAATTTTGAATCCTTCTTGATAGGGTTCTGCTGTGATGGACAGGTTTAGTGGAGCACTATCCAAATCCAGGGTTTGTTGGTGCGACCTGGGACTTTTCAGCTCGTCAATGGACTTTTGTACATCTCGCAGCTGTCTTTCAAGGTCTGCGTTCTTTCTCATCAGTTCTTCACTATGTTTGGACGAGCTGGGCTCGAGGTTTAGCTTCCTGCTCCCCCTTGGCCTGGTCGGCATTACTATGTTGCTTAGAGCGGGGGAGTTTCGAGTTGCAACAACCGCAGCCAGTTGTGCAGCCCTATTCAGCAAAGGAATCAGGGGGTCGTCAAGAATTAGACGGGCAAGGATTTTACCCATTGCCATTTCGAGAACTCTGGTTCTCTCTTCGAGCTCGGTTGTCTGAGCAGGTTCTGTTGACCTTTCAGGTCGTTCGCGCTGTGAATTGTATGGTCTAGAAGGTCTTTGTCTTGTTCCTGTTGGGGCTTGGAATTGTTTAGGCTGGGATACATACCCAGTTGGTGTTCTTTCATCATCCGCTTCGCTTAGGTGATCCTATTCGGCTCCCCCTACAAAAAGATTTCATGGCATTGCCCTAAAGTCATTCAAGCTGGGCTCAGATACATGAGTGTCCTCCTGTTCGTCCATTTCATTTCTTGGAGGGCGACCTCCTGTAAAGGTACGAACCATATTATCTTTCAACAAGTAAGGCCACACGACTTCTTGTTCGGTTCCCACAGACGGCGCCAAATGTTTGGGTAGCTTCGCAATCCAACACTGTTGAAGTCCTCGGCTGCTTCTACACCTAAAAATCCCAGGGTTGTTTCCCCGGGGAAAACACTCCAACGCTCAAGTCAGCAATACTCAATATTCTAGAGAGAGATGCTCTCAAGGAGTAATTGCAGAGAGAGAAGCGTAGAGATTAATTACCTTCATCAGAGGTAGTTAGGGGGTATTTATAGCCCCTTGGTGCTGACATACACCTGCACGTGTGAGCACCCCATTGGCCCACGTGGAGCTGGTCACGTGGGTATGCTTGTACTGATGCTCCTTCAGCTTGGGCTAATAGGTGGTAACCTAGGCCCGTTATGCACAGCCCTATTTGGATGTTGGGCCTATTCCAACAGAAGTCCCATTGCCTACCAAATGTCTTACCGTAGTTTTTTAAAAACCAAGGTGTCCTTTTAGTCTACACTTGCCGCCTTAATCATTCCAGGTTTAGAGTATTTGGCAAGCCTTCATGTAGTTCTTTTATGTGTTTGTTTCCTTATCTGTAAGCAAAATCTTCGATTTATGTCATGCACTGTAATAGATTATTTTTGGTGCTTTGATTTCTTGTCTGATATCTAAAAATGGCCTTAATTACCTTTTAACTGATCTAATAATCACTTGTCTTCATCATCTTATACATGTCATATTCTCACTATAGCAATAGTCAGTAGAGAGATGATTTGGTATCAGACTGTTGAAAGAGGGCAAAGAGTTCTTTTTGACATTTGCCATTAATTTGACTTTGACAATGCATGTGTTAATTTGTGGGTGGTAGGTGTTTAAAACTGTATGGAATCATGCTAAACTCGGGTGTTCTGATGCACATTGTTTTTGTCTGCAAGACATTTTGCCTATTCATTGTCATTGGAGGTGCTTACACGTTTACATCTCACTTTAGCTTAAAAAGTTCTGGTTTTGACTTTGGGTTTCTGATACAAAAGTAGCATGGCTTTTCCTATTGTTAAAGGATTGCTCGAAGAATATATATTTGCAATCATAAATTGCAAATATTATGTAAATGTGTTTTATATGAAGGTGTGGCCTTATGAATATCCTTTCGATTTTATATAACAGATTATTCCATGTCACATAGATCTGGTGCATGAAATTGACATTTCAGAAAAGGGTAAATTATTTAATTTCAGGTTATTTTCTTTAAATTTAGAGAAATATTTAATTTCTGTTCTGACATTCTCATGCTTATGGGTCCTAGGGGTAGGCCTGACTTTGGTGATACCAAATCTACAAAATAAATCGATAACTTTATAAATGGGTCAGTATTAAATATTTTCGGCATGGATTTGTGGCTTTTTGTGTTCATGAATCAGCGTTTCTGGTAAAAGGAAGGATTTGTGGTTTGCTTTTATTGGTTGCTATCCAATTTTGAACGACAAAATTTATGTGGGTACAATTAGGGGGCAGAATTGGGTCTCACAAGACGCCCAAGGCACTGAACGAGGGCTAAAAAGAATCAAGAATGCTGTATCCAAATTTCTTGGCCAACGAGGTCGGATCGGCAGTTAACAAACCTGGCCTGAATGTTATTTTCTTTCTTTGTCTTTTGTAGGTGATAATGGGCTTCTGTAAATTCAACAAACTTAGGGCCGAAAATAATAGGACCCAAAGTGTTTGCTTGACCCATAACTCATACTGTGACGGGCCTAGATCTATTTACCAATTATGGTACATACTATGGGCTTTGAGACCATTCTAGCTTTTTTTGGGCCAGCGAGACCATTTCATCACGATAAAGCATTATTGATTTAGTTCTATTTTTGAAGGCAAAAAAAAATTAGTTCTTTTATTTTCTTCTTTGTTGTAAAAGAGTGAAGTTGTGTTGATCTTTCTTTTTTAAATGTACTTTTGAATTCTATGAAATTTGTTTTCAGCTCTTGAAAAGTTACGAGTGAAACTACAAACATATAACTTTTGGAGCTGAACTATTGTTTGGTGACCCCTCTTATTAAGTCTTTTTCATAAATAAGAATTTATTTATATATAAATTTTATATATTATATT